TCTCTCTCTCTCTCTCTCTCTTTCTCTCTCTCTCTCTCTCTGTGTTCCAGGGAAATGAATCTAGGGCCTCATCAGTGCTAGGCAGGCATTTTTACTATTGAGCTATATGCCCTGCCCTCTTACTATTTATTTTGAGATTGGGTCTCACTAAGCTGCCCTGGCTGACCTTCAGCTCACTCTGTAGCCTAGGCAGACTTTGAACTTTCAATCATCTGGCCCCAGGTTCCTCAGTATAACAGGCCTGTGCCATCAGGCCTGGGTCTGAATAGCTTTAAAAATAAATTGTATCCTGCCAGGCATGGTGGCGCATACCTTTAATCCCAGCACTCGGGAGGCAGAGGCAGACGGATCTCTGTGAGTTCAAGGCCAGCCTGGACTACATAGTCAGTTCCAGGACATCTGGGACTACAGGGAGACCCTGCTTCAAAAAGACCAAAATAAATAAATAATAGTATCCCAGCATTCTGGAGGCTGAGGCAAGAGGATTTCTTCAAGTTTGAGGCAAGTTGGGGCTGCGTAGTCAGTTGAGGCCAGCCCGGACTGTATAGTGACTTTGAAGCCAGCCTATGCTACACAGTAAGCTATATACTGAGCCTCTGTCTCAACCAGATAAAGAAATGCTTAGTGAGTGATGTTAACAACTCTGAAGGCAGGGGGGCCAAGATGAGATCTACTGAAGTGGTCCAGATGAAAAGATGATGGTCGTACCGTGGATGCTGAAGGTAGACTGGATGAAATGGGTCAGTGATTGAGTGGAAGAGAAGATAAGGTGGAGATTTGATGATGCTTCTCTGCTTTCTGGCTGCTGATACATATGTCTATCATTCGCTGAGATGGTTTGGTGGAGGTGAAGGCTATTACAGAAGACACTGCTGGTTGTCTTCAGGGGATGACCTTATCACCTCCTTCTCTCTGGAATGTTCTCTGTGTTGTCTTCATGACACCCAGCCCCTCCTCCATCTTCAAGGAAGGAGTCATTAATGAGCTAAGTCAATCATGGTTGGCAGTCATTTCTTTTTTTTAGCCATATAACTTTCTTGGAAGGAATGAAGGTACTCTGAACAGAGCCTTGTGCCCCTCCTGTGAATTATCAAACTGTTGAAACAGAGCCCCCAAGAAATTGGAATTTCCCTAGCACTCTCATGCTGAGAGAAGAAAAGCCTGAAGCCTTGTGTCAGCCAGAAGAACTTGTCTTGGAGAAAGAGATGTCACACAGTTTTGACAACTGCAGAGGCCAGAAGGGTGTCAGATCCCCTGAAACTGGAGTTACAGATGGTTGTTAGCCACCATGTGGGTGCTGGGGACCAAACCCAGGTCCTCTGCAAGAGCAGCCAGTGCTTTCAACCACTGATCCATCTCTCCAACCCCCTTCCCTTTTTGCCTTTTTCTCTTTAGTTCAGGGCCCAGGCTGTGACCCTGACAACTCCAGTAATGTAAATATTGCACAGTCTGTGCACTGGGATAAAGGAAGATTGCTAATGGATTTATGGAAAAGTTTTTCCTTATATTAAAGTATGTATACTTCTAGGTAGTTGCTGGGGGCTCAGCAGGCCACCAGAGTGTGCTGGGTTCTGGCCTCCCTCTGGCCTCCAACTACCAGAGGGCCTGAGAACCCAGGGGACAGCCTGACAGCCCCCGATCCTGCTTCACATGGTGGTGAGCTTCCCCTAATTGTGCCATACCATCCCCCTACCTGGGATTTGGTGAGACCCCTCCCAATGTCCCAGGGCAGATCTGCCTTTGGTAGGCTAAGGCTGGGATCTGAGCAGACCACCAGAGAGTGCCAAGTACTGGCCCCCCTCTGGCCTCCCTCTGGCATAGGGTTGACAACGTACAGGACTGCCTGAGAGAGCCTGGATCCTGCCTCCATGTGGTGAAGGAAGCCTGAGTGTACCTGACTTGAACCTGAATTGGGCTTCTGTGGGTAACCCTGAATAGGTGATCTGAAGCCATCAGTTCCCTCCAAAATAAACCTTAGAGAACCTGAACCCTGTACCAACCAGCTTTACATAAAGAAAGGATCTAGGCACCCAGATAATACAAACAGAAGCATACTTCAAATTAATTCTCATATCAGAATCATAAACAACAAAAGAAATTCACATGCCAAAAGCACAATGAAAGAATAATAAAATGGAAAGCCAAAACACTATGTCCCCAGCAAAGCCCACCAATCCTGTAGAAGAGTTCTACAAGGAGAACCCCCTAGAGGTAACCCAGGACACTGAATTTAAAAGAACAATCATAAACATGATCAAGGAATTCAATGAATTTAAAGAACATACAAACAAACAGAGCTAAAAGAAGATAGGGATAAACTTCTGAATGAACTCACAAAAGAGATAGAAACATTGAAGACAACTCAGGCAGAGATGAAGAAGGAAGTGCAAAACTCAATAAGCCAAC